ATTTTTGTGATATCACATTTGTAATGAGTTCATATACATCGTAATAGATGACTTTTCTTTGGAAATTGTTGGATCACGGTGTCATTATTTCTTCTTGAAGACATATTTAGTTAACGTGTTTGTGTATAGCTTATTACTACCTGTTTTTTTTTGCTATTTTATACATCTAATACAGGATTCTTTTTCTATATATTTTTTTAAGATTAATAAATTGCTTTATTTTTTAACATCAATATTAAAGAGTTTGCATTTGCTTTTGCTTGCTACTTGCTTGCTTTTTTATTGAAAATTATTAAAACTTATTAGTTTAAATAATTTTTATACGATCAAAATTAAAGCCCTTGAAGATGGCTGGATTTTTTTAAATAAGTGTTTATTAGTGTTCCAAAAAAGTTGCCAGGGAATTAAAATAGCAATTTAATTGGATGGTGCTATTCAATTGCACGCCTAGTTTTCTTGTTGAATCATTGTGATATTCGAACCGTTCCGCAAGACGGCTGATTTAAAAGCCGCCAAAACGTTCATTAAGTTTTGTTATCTGTTAAAAAATAAAATTTATAACCTATCACCAACAGGACTAAAATAACTTCGTTGTTTAACATTTTATGTCATTATTAACTTCTGTAGCATTAAACATCGAAATCGTAATGACATACTAAAACAATTGCAGTCAAATACATTGCTTAGTCTGACTTCGATAGATGGCGCTGTGGCCTCTCTGAATCGCTGTATATCTTGTCTTTGTATAATTGTATTAGTATTAAGAATTTATTAGGGAGTTTAGACTTACCGCTACCGCTACGTTAGTTTCCTGTATTGGATCATACGTAACAAATGAGAAGTTTGTTATATTATCTTTTAGATCAGTCCTGTATCATTCAAGGGGTGAAAGCCTATTTGTTTTAAGCGCCAACCAGGGCAAAATTGAGTTATATACCATTTTGGAATCGGCAGATTTTTCTGCGTCGAATGAGAGGGGTCCCGTAAAGATCGGATGACTTTTTTGGCTTTTAAAACAATTAACACTTTGGCCTCATTTTAGAAAAATGATGTATTAAACGCCAAAAAAATCAATAAAATTTTAGAGGCTATGGATATGAACCACACATATATCTTACAAAAAACCGCTTAAACTGTTTTTGTTTTCTCAATTAAAATACTCCACGGCGGTTGAAGCGTTTTGCCTGCCACTACTTTTTAGAGGTGACTGTCGCTTAATACATTTTGCTTTTCATAAAAATCAACACGGCTGTTGTTTAAAACAATTAGCCTTTACCTAAAAAATATACAACACGGCCCCTCAACCTTTTTTCTTTTATGTTTTTTCATGATAGCGTGTTGTTTAAATCATTATCGTCTGAATGCTAAACTTGACTAGCGTGTCGTTTCAGTGAGTTATCCGCACTCTAGAATCTTATTGAGTGTCGGTCAAACACATCTCAAGTTTACTTGGTGCTACTTGAAGCACTTATCGAAACTCAAAATAGTGATATCTATGTCCGTTCATACATGCAAATATCACTATGTGCTAATTTAGCAACGTCGGATCAAACAATGACCGTTAGACGCCGGCACCTTTAACTCGCGCCAGTATAAATACCCCACCCCTAGCGCGGGCGCTTTAGCCTATCGTAAACCGTGGAAACGAGTGTTTGTGTGCGCCAAATCTTGTTAAGGTAAGAACTTGTTTCTTTTACTTAGGCCAAATATACTAAGTAATAAAAGTATTTTATAATAATTAATAATTATTTTTTCAGACACCACCACAAATCTTTCTAAATTAAGAAAATAAACCATAGTTAAGGAAACTGAAAAGCCAGAACTATAATATCAAATAAATAGTGACCCACCAATATTATTAGCCAAATTAAGAAATTGGCCAAATTAAGTCGACCCCAGTTAGAGACTTCCTCTAACGAAGAATCAATAACAGACACAAGTTGATTCCGGCTCTCAATGACACTTTCCCGAGAAATACCTGCACGACCGTTATAGAAGGAGTCCATCGTGCTGTCGTCCGCATAACAATGAATACCGCTAATTTGCAGCATGTCATTAATATGTAGAAGAAAAAGTGTAGGTGATAGCACACATCCTTGGGGAACACCAGAATTAATAGACAGTAGGTCTGAGCATTCACCGTCGATTAAAATCTTAATGCTTCTGTCTGCCAAAAAACTAGTGACCCATGCACATAATTTCTCGGCAAGCCCATACGAGGGAAGTTTTGTTAGAAGACCATTGTGCCACACTCGATCGAAGGCTTTCGGTATGCCCAAATGTGTCAAGTGAACTAGAAGATGGCCAGCAGAGCGACCACTACGAAATCCGTATTGTTGGTCACTAAGCAACTGGTGATTCTCTAGGTACCGAAGGAGCTGGCGGTTGATAATGGACTCCATTTTCTTTGAAATCAAAGGGGTTATTGCGATCGGCCTGTAGTTGGACGGGTTTGAGCGATCACCTTTTTTTGGAATCGGATGCACAAAAGCAGTCTTCCATGAGGTTGGGACGATGCGAGATGAGTAAGAGAGCCGGAATAGGCGCGTTAAGACCGGTGCCAACTCTGGAGCGCACGTCCTTAGCACAATAAGGGGGATACCATCGGGCCCACTCGACTTGTGGATATCCAGGGAGAGTAGCGCTAGATGCACTAAGACGCGCTAGAAACATGGGTCCTAAGCGTAACATCATAAACAATGGTGAAATCAAAATGTCCCCTAAGTAAGTTACTCAATTTAAATGACACCTAATTTTAAGAGTAGTTGGTGAAAATGGGCATTAAACACCTACATCGTATTGATTATTTTACTTAAAATAAGAATGTCAAATGATACGAAGACTGTTTTTATAAGGACATTTAAAATAGCTGTGATTTGTCACATATTATGAATTGGTAAAAACTCTTTATAGTTGTTGATTTGTTAAGTTACGTATTTTAAAAGACATTTAAATACTCTTTATAGTTGTTGATTTGTTAAGTTACGTATTTTAAAAGACATTTAAATATGCTGAAGTTTGTAACATAAATACTAAGTTGTTGATTTAGGATGTTTGAGAATATTTCAATAAATAATTTTATCAGAGATCTTCTTTTATTTTAATAAAAAACCATCTCCACTAAGATTGAAGTTTTAAAATGAGAAATAAATTGCATAGTATCATTCGCCATTCATAATAAAGTTATACAAACAAATGCGATTTAAAACAATTGCTTGTGTTTTAAATTGTTGTTTAAGCTGTTATGATTTGACCCTGAAATGAAAATTTTTGCTTCTTCAGCCAAATAGGTTTATTCTATTGAATTAGTGGATAGTTGGTTAAAGCATTTATCCAAACTAGAAAGACAATTAAAGTAGTACTTAAAGCCTTTTGCTCGCACCGATCAGCGAAATAAAGTGGTGGTTAAACCGTTTTCCCTGACTCTATTATGCGGCCATTTTGTGTTAACCGACATTTATTTTCGAAATTATTATCATGACAAAGTTAAGTATATAACTAGAATTTGAGGATTTTAAAAATAATCTAGATTGTAAAACTTCAGGCAAAAATAACCAGTAGTTTTTATTTAATGATTTTTTTTTCGAAATCAAAAACTTTGAATCCCTCTCCTGAAAAGTTAAAAAAATGGCGCTTAAAACAAATAGGCTTTCACCCCTCGATATGCAGATTTTTTGAATTTTATATAAAATCATCCACTACAATATATTTAGCTTTAATTTTAATCCTACCAAGTACCAATAAATATCGGTGTTCCCGGAGTGTATTATTGTTCTGTGGTTCCCGGTGAATTGACAGTTAATTTTTATATAATTATGATATGATCTAAAGTCATCGAATACGCGGTCATCCGAGGATATTTAGCTAGAAAGTATGGCCTACCAAAACCAGCAAAATATAATAAATGCAAATATATCGATTTCTTATGTGAACACGGAACCTGTAAAGGGTCCGAAACGTCAATAAAACTAAACACAAACGCAATGACTCCGTTTTAAAGTTGTTTCATTAACTGCAAATATTTACTCATTGTCCTCTACACAGATACAAAGTAATTCAAACTATTAATATGACAAGCTATGCAACGTCTGCTGTTACATTATAGCTTTTTAACATAAGATTATTATTTATGTCTCAATATAGGTCGTGGCTAGAACCAATAATAAGAAAAGCGATATTGTTTTTAGAGCGGTCTAGACTGAGGGGATATTTATTTGCGGTCTGTTGTTCTATGAAAGAAGCGGGGGTAAGTTATTTTACTTTATTATTTATATGTTTTTTTTAAATGTATGGATCATAACTTCCTATACGTTGACCAAGAACTACACATTAAAAAAATGTCATGTCATTGATGTCATTTTTAGTACTTTGATCCTATGATACAATGAAAACAATCAATGACACTTCTATCAATATTGTATTTAGAGTAGTTTTTATTATTAAAAATTAGGTTAACATTGTGTTTAGAATTATTCATTTAATCTCCACTTGTTAGATATATAGATAAATTGTACTGTGAGAAATGGAATCATGGAACAAGATTCTGTTAAAATAGGACTTTCTATTTAAATAGAAATTTACAATAAAATTAAAAGAGATTAAAATATTAAAAAAAGAGTGGAAGAATTTCAATAGATTAATGTGGAGAGAAAGTATGCGATCTCTATTTTCGCTTATGGTTCGTTTGGTTATAATTTCATAAGATATCATTACATTAGTATGTAGTAGTATATTAGTAAGATGACGTTATGCTTTTTTAAACCACGCCATCATCTGTTTTCTTTGATATTATATAAGTTTGTGGTTTATTCGAATTGTCAACTATCTAATAAAGCCTGTTGTGTACAAGAGTATTTATTTTTTAATTACAAGAATAGAGTGTATATTCCTATCTTTCTTTAATCGAGATTGTAAATGTTCACTTCTCGGTAAATTATTGTATTTTGTATTTTAAATAGTCATACTTAATTAATTATTGTATTTTAAATAGTCATACTTACCACCCAGTATGCCGTCGATGCTGTAATCCTTCTTTCCATCTGGGTCTCTCGAACCTCCGCGCAGCAATCTTGATATTGACGAAATGCTCGGGGGATCCGTCACGCCTTCCTGAAAATAATGTATTAAAATTGATTAATCATATTTGTAAAAATTCACTTTTACTTATGACCGCATTGAAATATATTAGCGTGAAAAATTCAATTAAAAAATTGAGTATTTTAAGAAAAAGACAATTTATTTTAAAGATTCTATTTAAATGTTTTCAGTTATCTACCTCCCTCCGCTTGACCTTCGTTTAGAGCTGGCGGCTTTTTGTCGCTGAATCGATTGCTTAAAATAATCAAAGACCGCTCACGGATTTAGCGACTGTAAAAAGAACTCGTAATTTTATAACTCTGTTTTTTGTTGTTCTCCGTTACACAATCCGATGATATTTTTATTTAGCTTGTTGGAACTTGACATGTTTCTAGCATTGTGAAATATAAGGAAAACTTGTATAATCTTATTTTCTGTCTCAATTAATGTGAAATATATCTTCTAGTGATCAGAAACATTATAATCGAATAAATTAACCAAAACGATAAAGATTCTATTCAATGGTACTAATGATCTGTAAGTTATTATTAACTAGCGACCTGTTCTAATACTCATGGCCTGACTGGGTTATAAAATAAAGTAAGACTCCTATATACCCATTTATAAAATGATAATGTAATTAGCTCAAAACTGCACAAATTTTCACAATCTGTTTTAAACTTAATCATCAACAAATTAAAATCTAAAAATTGAAAATATTGAATTTTATAATATTGTAAAACTCTTGACACTTAAAGAAAATCGCGATGATAATCTCCTCAGTGTCAATTAATTAACGCAACGTTACCTTAATTAGTTTTTCCCGAATTTCCCAGGAAAATATGCCCGGGTTTTGTCGCTTGAGCTCTTCAATTCTCGCCTCCACTTCTGGTGTTGCTACCCTCGGTTTCGAACCCCCGATCACACCGGGTCTGATAGACCCCGTCTCCTGTTCAGATGTTGCCGTTATTGAATGTCAATTTTGCAATAAGGATGTTCTCGGTCGTATTCAAATGATATGCAAAATAGGATCGATGGCATATTTCATTTTGGTTATTTATCGTATTATATTGCTCTCTACTAGGAGTATATTTTCATTCGTAGAGAAAAAATGTGATCTTAAAATTACTAATTAAATGATTGACATATAGATAAGGCTCTGCAAACACTTGACTAATAGGAATGTGTGTTATGATAACAATGTTAGTTGCTAAGGTTTTGGTATGGGTTTTATTTCAAAAGCAATGGGCATATTTGGCTTAAATATCCTATTATGAGATATGATTTCCTATAAAAAAACGTCGACGCAGATAGTTGAATACTTTTTCTGAACTTATACTTTGAAAGGTTATTTAAGAAAGTGCAACAAAAAAAAATTGACAATCTGGAGTGAAAAAATTTAAGTCATATCATTGTAGTAAATCAAATCTTTATTAAGAAAAAGTATATAAATTGGGTCAGCACTCATGAATATCGTAAAAGACCCTTGAACTTTGAGATGATCTGTAAATATGATTTGATTGAAGGTTATATTGTAAATATAACATTCGAAGGGGAATAGGGTTTTGACCTTCACTTCACATCGTTCGTAATGTTTGTAGGTATGTACTTGAATCTATCAAAATTATTCTGAATATAGATTTTAACTGACATCAACAAATGTGATAAAAATTAAGCATGTATTTATGTTCTAAGTTATGTTTTTTCAAAATTCAAAGGTAATTATGTAATACAAAATATTCGAATAAAGTTAACATTTTTTTATTAATCAAGTTTTTGTGTCGTGACGATTTATAGGTTATATACTTTCCAAAAGAGCAACTAACTCCTAAGGCTTCATAATCATCAACATTACCATTGGGGCAGTTTTGCCTAAACATATATAGATATGGATAGAGAACCAGCTATGGGATGAATGGGGAAGGTTTACTGCGAATAGGTAAATGTTATGGACACCCAAAGCTACTCGTATCAAAAAAGGAATTCAAACCGACGACTTTGCAAAAGTAGCTTTAATCATTGAAATCGTCGACCTAATGCATTAACCTTCTTAATAGTCTCAGTTCATGTATTCTCCGCTCTCTACTCTATGATACTCTTCCCAAATCATTGCACGGAAATGTTGAGGTTTAGGTATATTTGTGATGTAATAATAACTACCTGTTTTTACTTGTGCGTTGAAAAGTACATAAATGGCCATTGATTTTTGTTTTTAGAACTTTAGTTTTAAAATATTCTAAATGCAATTATTGTATAGTTAGCAGCACGTGAGGATAATCTGTCAAATTTATTTACTTGATTTAAAACCTTAACGCTTTATGTGTGGAGTTTAAAATGAACTGGAGAAATTAGATATATTGTGATAATCTGATGTACCGCCGTGTGTACAAAATTCTTCAGTGCTAATCTATAATAAAATCGACGTTGAAGTCGACGTCGACCACAGTGGTGCCAGAGCGTAGAAAATCAACCAAATAAAACCTTCTTCAAATGGTAATAAACGTTTTATTTGAACACCTATGCTGTAAATTTGTTTTGTTCGACATCTAGTTCGAAGGTAATTTTATTACAAGATAGTTTAACTAATTTTGGTCTTGTAAGTATAATATAGTTAATCTTAAATATAATGATTGTCGTCGTCTTAAATATAGTAAATAAGAGACTGAAATGTATGTTAATTAGTTTTCTTTTTTTTTGTATTAGACTATTTTATTTAACTGTTACTCATTGGCAGAAGTCGTACGCACCTCACGCTGGAGCGTAGAGAAACACTTCCTGGCCAAACAATGGACGCATTGTGGTCAAGACTTGGTGAAAATGGACCTTCAGGCTTCGCTGGCCATGGATCAATGGCGATTGTTCGTATCGAACTGGTACCACACCATTTACATATGATAGGGAACCTTTAAATAAATCTATCATTTTCGATTTCGATACTTAATTTAAGCGTATGATAATATTTGTATATTTAAAGGATGACACTTATGTTTGCTTAAGTGGGCGTCTAAAACAAACCATTAACAAGACAAAATTTATAGCAACTATTATTAAAAATGAAGCAGTATAAAAATAATTACGACACAAAATATCATGTTACCTACTACTTTAAAAATTCAATGATATTATTAAATAACGATAATAAAATTAAATAAATTTAGTTTTTTCTGTCGCTTTATTTCGCCTAAAGTAAAAAAAATACCATATTTTTCTAAATATCCCCTTCGCGATGTCACTTTATAATTTATGTATATATGATGTATATATATATGATTTATATATTTGTCTAATACATATATAATACTGATCTTTTCGCACCGCCTCATATACTATCTGTACACAATTCTACGGTTGACTGGTAGAGAATGCCTAATGGCATTAAGTCCGCCATTTGTACTGTGTGCAAAAAAGTTTAAATAAATAAATAAAAATAAAAATAATTTATATTCGCTAGAATGTGATATTTTCGGTACAAGCTGATAGAAAATTTTAATGTCTTTAGGGACAAAAATGAGGTGTAATGTAATAGCCAGAGTATTGTATGTATTATGACTATGGGATCGCGATTTAGTATTAAATGCTAAGTAAATATAATATCTTTCAGTATTTTTGTTCTTTTGTTAATTCTGTTAGAGCTGGAGTTTCTTTCACTCGTTCTTCTTGTCAACCAAAAACCTCACGGGTGAAGATTGTTGGAAGATTGAAAAGTAATAATATGTTTATTTTATTTAAATAAAGAGATTTGTGATTCTGACTTTCTAATATGACTAAAAAATTAAACTTTTCACATTAATATTAATACTCGGTAGAATTGTTTATTCATATTCTCCTTTTATTAAGTACTTTACTTTGATGCAATATTTCCCATTGTCATAACGCTAAATGGTTTAATGGCTCTCTTACTTTGGTCGATTGCAAACTGCGGGTGATTTCTGTGTCTCGTTTTATTGGCTATCATTGGTTGTATGGTTGAAAATTACTATAGTATGGTGGAAAATTACGCGTCTGTCCTTCAATATGTTGTATGAAATATATTTTAAATATCTAATAGTATCTTTACATTTCGATGCGGTTAATTTGAGGCTAGTTCTTTCAGATTGATTTAATACTGGTTAAAGTATGAAACTGCAGATTTGTACTGAAAATCAAAATTGTTTATTTTTTTACAAATTTATTTAATCAAAATAGTTACCATTATTATTTATACATTGCTGCCATCTAATAGGAAGTTAATTTATGCCTTTGCGATGGAACTCTGAGGATCTAGACTGCTCAAACTCTGTGAAAGTATTTTGTACTTCCTCCTGGGAAGAAAACTTCTTGTCACGTAGATAATTGTCCAAATCACGAAAAACAATGGTAGTCCGTTGGAGCAAGGTCTGGCGAACACAGAGGATGACGAATGATTTCTAACTGCAGTTTCTGAAGGGTCAAAACGGTTACCCGTGTTGTCTCACGTTATCATGAGTAATAATAGTGAAGATCGATGAATGAGTCGGGGCTGTTTACTCCTAGTTTTGCCAACATTGTTCGAAGTTCGGCACAATAGACATCTGCCGTTTTTGCTTGACCAGATCAGAGAAAACTATTGTGAATAACACCATGCTGAGACCACCAAACAGTTACCATTACCTTTTTATTGGTAAGTTTTGCTTTAGGAGACTGTTGTGGCGTTGACCTAGGGTCAGCCATTGCATTTTTCTTTTACGGTTATCATAAAGAATCTACTTTTCATTATATGTCACAATTCGATCTAATATTTCTTAATTTCTGTTCCGATTCAACAAGGCAACACAAGTTTCAACACGCGGTTGTTTCTGCAGACTAGTCAAATCATGGGCATCCTTTTTCGTATTTTTTTATTTTATTGATTTGATGCATATTAGTCAATATTGTGGGTGAAGTAACTTTAAACCATGCCGCTAATTCCTGGATAGTTTAACTAGGATCAACTTCCACCATCTCTCTTCATTCATCGTTATTCACCTGTGTGGGCGGTCCTACTCGTGGCAAGTTCTACAAATCGAAGTTTCCATCACGAAAGCGTATAAACCAAAATCGCACGATGCGCTCATTAGCAGACCCCTCTCCAAAGGCAACATGGATATTGCGGGTTGTATCTGCCAGTTTACTTCTGCGTCGGAACTCATATAAAAAATTACTCAAATTTTCACAGTATCCATCTTCTTTGTCTAAATTGAGTAACAAAAACAATTGAAAGTCAATATTCAAATGTTTAAATTTTTTTAAAAGAAGAAAATCATAGAAACCATGTCAAAAAGTTTCTTTCGAAAACTTCAAACCACGAATATTCTATGTCAATTCAAGGAAGTTATTACAGTAAAACGGCAATTTCATACTTTAACCCCTAATACCCCTAATGTGCGTAGATTATGCAGTGGTAGTCGGTTAGTCACGAAAATATCTTTGTATAAAGTAAAATGTTTCAAATTTCACAGAGTCTTGTAGCAAGTAACATGAAATTTCACAAATTTGTAGAAAATGCTATGTTACGAAGACCTTGTTCCATAATATAATATTAACTTCAAAATAGAATTTTTATATTAATTTCAGACTTTATGACTTTAAGCATAGTTCTTTGAAGATATATTTTATGATTAAGGTAATATGTGCGTTTAACTTAATCGGTTAGATATAACTTCTAATCATTCACAATTTCAACGTACAGTTGCTATAGAGCTATATATGAGATTATTAACTTATTATATCGAAATAGATGTTTCAATAAATAAATTAATTGTGGATTAAAGAAACATTGAAGCTAGAAATTAATCGTAAATTATTTTATTATAGGACCTCCTTGTAACTTTTTACTTTAACTTTATTTCTTATTACTTCAATTGTTATATATACGGGTGAAGGATAACGTATGTTTGAGTGATTTAAGAGGTAGGTTTATGTGTATAATAGGACCACACAGGCGAAGCCGCTGGCGGGGAGCTAGTTATTTATGATTAGATTTTTTCTATAAATAAACTTAGGAGACTGTTTAATACAGTATTATATTCCCGATTTGATATTAATTTTTATTCAATAACAAATCACTTAATATTTTTTACAAAATCTCCGTATTTTAACATAGTCGTATAGACATTAATTTTAAAAAGTGTGCATTTCGTTTGTTATTTTTTATAAAATGCATTTAATTGAAAATGAAAATGAAAATATCTTTATTCAAGTAGGCTATTACAAGCACTTTTGAATCGTCCAAAATTTTATTTTTCCCCTTCCATTTGTTCAGGACGTCTTTTAGCTGACAAGAAGAACAAGTTTTTATCATAAGTAATGACATTTACATAAATCATGTCATTACCAAAATAATATGTATTATCACAATAATAAATACAACTTTCAAAGTCTGTAGGACATAGGTTGAACATATAATTAGTCTTTATAGAACAAAGCTAAGGCTAATAACTTCATGCATTGCGATCCTTAAAATAATAAGTATATCTATATTCATATATGTATATCATGTATATATGTATATGTATTCATATACGTATATTTTAGTATATGTATATCTATATTCTTAAAATATATATTCTTTACATGAATTTTAAATTTATTTATGGGTAGGTCAACTACATTTTGTGGAACTTTATTGAACATAGCAATGCATTGACCCAGAAATGATCCTCTGGTTTTCTGAAGTCTGGAGCTTGGAACGGCAAATTTATTTTTATTTCTTGTGTTAAGATTATGAACACTACTTTTTTTGTGAAGGAATCGTAATGTTTTCTTGCGTACATAATATTTTCATATATGTAGTGAGAGGCAACAGTCAAAATATTTATTTCTTTAAATATATCTCTGAGAGATTCTCTAGACCGTAAATTATATATAGCGCGGACAGCTCTCTTATATCAATCATTATATCAATGAACTATCCAAATAATAATCATAATAGCTAAGGAGCTAAGGCTTTAATTCATGCCTTACAAACCTGGTATCTGTTAAGGATTTTGGAGACACAGCCGTGCGAAACTCGTAGTTGGCGTGAGATGACGCATGGTCTTACTCCTGCAGCGGCCATTTCCACAATTTTCAGTCTGATGTGGTTTGGTAGAGGTCGTCCATTGATGAAAAGACCTCCGAGCTGGTTGACGCGGCCTTGACCTAACCAAACAATAGAATATTGTTTTGAAAAGTGTTAATATTTAATTCGAGAGCTTTCTTTAAGTATTCATTTTTCTTTTATTATTTTTTTTGTTTCATACCCAGGCGGTATATTATTCTTAAATAAATTTTTAGCTCTATTTTTATAGCATTTTTAATAGCAAATTATATTGTCATTATTATTATTATAAAAACTGTATTAATAAAATCTATTTCTATGCTATACACGAGATTTCATTGAAAATTATATTATAGAATTCTATCTAATTGTATATAAACTGAATATTATTATCATTATTATAATAATATACATATCTTCATGCTATAAGGGACATTTTAGAGTTGCTAAATATAATATAACTTAAGTTTTTTTGTGTGATAGTCATAACTTATGTTCTTATAAGTATCCTTACTTTCTGAATAGATATATTTATTCAGATAGATCATTTATTTCGTTTTTTACTGACGTCAGATTATATAAATTTAAGTTTTTATTATGTAATCAAAATAATAAATATTTAATGATAACTAATTTATCATTAAGTATTTATCATTTTGATTGATGAAGTCGTTTCATCAAATTTATTCATATCCTCATAAATAATTAAATATTGAAGTTATATTTTACAATGTACATTAAAATTGGAATTTATTTGGTAATAATAAAATCAATAGAGAAATACACATTAAAAAAATAAAACTACACATAGAGCTTTATAAGTTCTTACAGAACAAGTTTGATTTTAAAAATAATAATTATACATATACCCTTACCTACCCACACATCCATACCATTTTGGTGGCGTTCCATAATGGTATGACAGATCAACGTGTTAGTTCCATTAACCACAGTCGAAACCTACACTAAATAAAGCGATTCCACTGAAGATCAAGCATCATACATAGTCCCGTATCCTTTTTAAAAACATAAACACACGAATTTGTTAACACCGTAAAACGTCACAATAGTTTGATAAATATCTGTTTACATTAAATTAAACGAGATCCGAACACGTAATTTAAATTGATTATCACCCATTCTTATTTACATAATTAAAACGACATGTTCAATTAATTACGCTGTCATAAATATTGTGATAGAAATAAATGGTTGCCCGAGCGGACGCGTTCGGTTGTAAACGTCAGGTTTATCCGACTATAGGAACGAAGCCTATCAGGCGGCTAGTTTTTTCGATTTGAAAAAAGATCGATAGATCGCGTTATCTTTTTTTTCTGCGCGTGAGTGCAGTAGATGAGGTTGTGTAGTGAACTGAGAGTGCCGCTGTGTTTGTGCAGACAGGGCGAGGTGCGCGTGTGTGCGTGAGCTCTACCAAGGAGGTTATATTGAGGGCCTTGATGGGTGTGTGGGTGAGTGCATGGAACACTCCCACTGTGTAAGTGTGAAATCTGTAGTGGAGCCACACCACATTTAAGGTAGGATATATGTATCTTTCATTTGAGGCTAAAAAGCAATAGTAAATGTATTTTATTAAAACAGCTTTTTTGCATTCACTGTGGGCGATTATATTTACGTTATATAGTATTGCAGTTGAAATATTCGATACTGCATAATTTAAGAGAAAAAGCCCGTTTTTATACATATATTAAAAAATCTAAATGACATATATTTTTTGTTAATTCATGTCAATAATTTTGTTATAACAATTTTAATATTATGGAAAAAGCTTTTCCATTAATTGGTCATATTAAAGCTTTGTTAAAATAATATACTTTCTAAACAATTTATATATTTATACATGAACTTATCTCTATTATACTTATCTCTATAATATTATTCTTTATCTTAGATAGAGATTTTGGGATAAGCCATAATTTTGTCACCCGAGTATTGTATCAAAACAGGCGCGAGCGCAGTTGGAGGGGGCGCGTTCTGCCCACCGTTACAAAGTGTCTCATAGAAATATGTACGTCTCGTTCTAACAGAGCACGATCGCGGTACCATTGTTTTAACCCTTTTAGTAACCAAACGATTCGTTGCGGTTTGTCAGTGTTAATTCCGGTCACTATATGATGATAGGTCAGCAGGTGTCAGTGCTAAAGTGTATATTATGTCATTATATCAAACTAGATCATATCAATTATGTTAGCACGTAGTAAGAACGGTCAGAAGTGTCTAGATTTATGGGGTTTTATACACAACACTGATATGCAGTTAAAAATCCTTCAAATTCTTCTTGTTCACATTTAAAGGAAAAATGCAATGAAAATATGTTCTTTACAAGTTTTTCACACAATCAAAGAATTTATTGTTTGATTTTTTAGTAGTTCCCTTATATATTTATATCTTTTTTGTCATAATATATCTAACCTTACATTTCAATGAAATGAGTCGAATAAGATGTTAAACTCTTGATGGTGTATCATTATACACCATTGTGCATACTTTTATTGGAATCACACACTTTTAACAGATTAAATTACTTGTTTGTAGATTTTATTATGTGTACATACGTTTTATTTTATTATAACTTCTATACCTGTTATTAACTTTTATTTATTAACTGTGACAGTGCTGTGTTCGACGTCAAGTCCGATGTTAACTTGTTATCAAATTGTAAGGCAGATCGGTGGCTTAATTATATAATTTCAAAATCTATCGCAACCCCTTTCAAAGATTTAATGCTTGTGATAATTATTTATGGAATTATATTAATTATTTATGGATTTAAAGTCGTTATCGCATTCGAAAAGATTGATGTTATTGAATGATCAAGAAACATAATATTTACGTCCAACACTTGCCTTGGACAATTCCAACTAACGTCAAATTAACGATATTGTTCATTCAATATTTTCCAATAAACTGCGCGATCGCAAACGGTATCACATCTCAAATAGTTGTAGCGTCAATTTCGTGAACGTCGTTAAATTGAAATTATTGCGATAGATTTTAAAATTAGACAATTTAACCCTTTGTTACAGAAAGATTAAATGGAATGTAGAGAGATCTAATTCTATATCATTCTAAAATAAGTAATGTTGATAGCAATATACTTATATAATTGGAGTAAATAAGATCAGTGGCATGTAATTTTGGATTTGATTTAGTTGAAAACATTAATCAAATGCTTTTTTTTTTATTAAAATCCAGGTTTTAATTAAAGTATTATGGGTTATTATTATATTTGATCAATTTTGCATGCACGACGCTATACTGAAATATTATTCTTAATGAAAATGCTCTTTGTCCTTGGCACTCTGTTATGAACTTGAATCCTTGAACTTTCGCAATCTGAGCGACTGTTCTTACTACTGAGCTAGGAGGAGCCAAAAGGAGCTAAAAGGAATTTTTCAAGCACTTGTTACTTTTTGGTAGCGTATTTTCATCAATGTTCAGGCAATCCACCCAAACAGCCCAAAGAAATATTTGTACGAATATTAAAATTTTTGATAAAGATGAAAATATATTCTTGCTATACTGAAAAATATTCCTAAAAAACATGCTAAAAATCCTTTTTGTTCCTGGCACTCTGAGACGGGGCTCGAACCTATGACCTATGACGTTTCGACATCCGGGCGATTAATTGTTATCGTCCAATTATTATTTTTATTATAAATATATTAATACCCCAGCTCGAGGTAGGCCGTGTAAGACCCGAAACACTATCATCAGCCCTTTTACGTCCTCACTGTAGGGGCTCAGGCCTTCCTTATGGATGGTTAAGGAGGATGGGCCATGACCCTTCACGCTGGCCCAATGTGGATTGGAGGGTATTAACGACTGCAAATACAGCCCGGATCAACGGCTTAACGTGCCTTCCGAAGCACGGAGTAGCTCGAGATAATAATTTTTTGGTCACCCATTCCGTGACCGACCCTTGCGAAAGTTGCTTAACGACAACGATCGCGGGTCGCGGCGCTTATCCACTACGCCACCGAGCTACTCACACTATACGAAACACTATAGAAGAGTTTATTTTCTACACTATACCGGGAACCAGGGACCTCAGAGATGGCGACGACGAAAGCGGCGTGTGAGCCACTCAGCCACAAAGGTCTTTAAAATACTAATAAAAAAAATCTAGAACAGATTACATACATTGATGTAGAAAAGTGAATCCTGAAATATGTAATTTAAAACAGGGACTCTCAATATCAATGTTCAGACTTTTTTGTTTCGTTGTGGGAATGCTTTATGCGTTTATCCTGCTGTTTGACAGGCGACAGGGAGTGTATGGGACTCTCCATCCACACGGACCCGCCCAAAGACTAGTCAAAACGTGGATGGCATACCCACTAAACTCCCTTTGATGCATTCTTACTTTTGGGGGAAGGTCGTAGGATCCAGCAGGGACTGCTCCATACATAGCCCCTGGTCAATGTTCAGATCTCAAGTATCAAAATTTTGCAGAATGCTCATACAAAATTACATCTCCAACCACAATAATCGTCGAGGACTAAAAGCACCAAGTTTTAGCTGTTTACAATAAGGGGAAAATTCTGTCGCTAACTGAAATGAATGAAATTATGAATAGCTTAAATCTGCACGTGAAAACATTTTAGGCAGTCTTAATATTCATACTCGTATTATCAGAAAGTAATTTTCTCTTTATTAATATGGAATGTCTAAGTTTGTGATCTGATATGAAAGTAGATTTTTATAATTCATATAGAATAATCTAAAAAAACACAATGGAAGATATATAAAAGTATTTTCCGACGTGTAACTACGCATCGAGTCTTCTTATTGGATGCACTCGAATGAATCTTCAAAAGCAATCTATTCATTGCTGCATTTCGTGTGACGCATTTTTTGTGTCGTTTGTTGTTATTGTGTGTCTTTCTTTTACTTGAATAAAAGATAGACAAATAATGTTAATAAATTAAGTATGAAGATCCCATTATTTTTATGGTGACCGTATTTATAGTTTATAGTTTTCACAGCTACTATAAATATGGTTCAAAAGATAATCGTTGAAAGTTCGATGGCGCAGTTTAGTCTGCGATGCGGTAGTATATTATTTCTAGCTCCTTCGTGCTTCAAAACGTTTCGCCGTTAGTTCTGACTGCAATTGTAGTCAGTAACACCCATCAATCTGCATTAGGTCCGAGTTGTGGGTCGTGGCCGATTCTCCCTTTTCGGCACGAGTCCATCCATAGGGGAGGCCTGTGTCCCACCAGTAATGACATAAAAGGCTGACGATGATAATAGTATTCCTTAGATCTGACTGTAGACTCTTTTTTAAGGTAGTTAAATAAGAATATTCTCGAGGTCTCTTTTAGTGAGAGGTCGTGGGTGGACATAGCCCTCACCCACGAAGTAGCTACGCCCTGAGTATGATTACGTTATAGTTAACACATCAATATTTCAAATATAAATTAGTGGAATAACAATTAAAATTTTATATTTCTTTAGTATATATTAATATATTCACGCCGACCTAAAAGGAATGCATGATATGTAAGAAATCTGATGACGGTAAAGTAAAACATAGGATTATATATTCTATGCAAAGTTTGTTATAGAAATTAGTGTTTAACCAATAGTTTGATGATCCTTTTTTATATTCTGGGGATTATTAAATTAAATTTTCGGTATAACGAGAACTTTATCGTTCCTATACTATTATAGAATTAACATTAAGTAAGAGCAGGATTAAAAAAGATTTTAATTAGATTAAAAGCGCCTTCATTATAACTCGAAAAACAAACCAAACTTCGGATTTAAATCTTCGTTATATTTTCGTTATGCGGCTTGTTAATAATGTATTCTTTCCATCTCAGAGTGCCAGGATCAAAGTGGATTTTTTATGCATTTTTCTTTAAGAACATTTTTCAGTATAGCATTATGAATGCGAGATTGATCAAACATAATATATTCTTTTTAAATATTAAATGAAAATATATCAGTATTATCAGTGACAAGGCTAGGCCCATTAATCTTTAAGGTTATATTGCTGATTGCGTAACACTTAAAATCTTTTTGCGACTTAATTGATAGTATATACTTTTAAACAGAAAATATTGATCAACATAATCCACTTCTAAAGGAGATATGTAGGTATTAATATACTAATAGAATTTGAACGAAATGGAAAAACCTACTTTTTTAAGTCAGTAGTAAAATAGGCTACTTGAAAATTAGCTGTTTTCAGAACAAACCGTTATTACACTGATATTAGTTTCCTTCCGCTCAAAACAAATAAAATAAATACGGTAAAATATTTGCTTTTAGCTAGACAATAAACAGCTAAGCTACGAAATTGTAATTTCTACGGTCTTGGCTGCGAGTGACGATGGAAAATCGACTTAAATTGCCATAATTAATTTATTCTAAACAAAATCGACCTCACAAAGTGCCTTCAAAGCATTCAATTTTGCATTGAATTGGTAATTTCCACGGCACAATAATTTGTAACTGTAAGATACTAACAACTACTGCTGAAGCGAACGTTTTCTCACGCTTTTGGAAAGCAAATAGTTATTTGGCTTTCTATTTTAGAGTTAAGAAACTTCATAAGCGAGCTGGATTAGACAAGTGTATTTTTTATTAAATCTCTAGTTAAAATTTCTTTAATAATATGACTTTATGTCAACTGATAATTATAGATTCAAACAATTAAGAATACGGTCTGCTGAAATAAGTTGTTGATGTTGTAAATATTAAGCTAAATATATTATATGGTTATCCCTTGTGAAGGTTAAACAAATAGCATACCTACCTACCTTCGTAATTTTAAGAGTACATTTAAGTTCTAAATATAAATATAATAATACAATTGGTATGATCTATAAAACACGAAGAATGAAATATGAATATAAATTACAATTCAAAGCTAAAATCCGCGTTCTTATTATTGCGACACAAAAGACATCAAGTGTTCCATTATAAGTAAGAACGTATTGTGAATGGCAAAGAGTATAACTTGTCACATTGTACAATACGTGGTCTTTGTCTTTCTCTTATCGTCTAACCTAATTTAAATATTTCTCCCTCTGTCC